ACTGTGCGCTGACATCGAATTCTACAACAGCTGATCGCTGAGGGTTCCACCAAGCTCGCTTCCGTTCCCTCCGGTGGTGCTGGTGGTGCCGCTGCTCCTGCCGCTGCCGGTGCCGCTGCCGGTGGTGCTGCCGCCGCTCCCGCCGAGGAGAAGGAGGAAGAGAAGGAGGAGTCCGACGAGGACATGGGCTTCGGTCTCTTTGACTAAGCGCTTTTTTATATACAAGCGCAACAAAAATCATGAGATTTGGTGGGGGAACAGAAATCTGGCAGTTATTTTCAGTATGGGGAGTAGACTCGCCCATTGGTACCGATCAGTCTGTGTGTCTTCAGGCTTTTCGAATGCAGTTACGAGCATGCATATAAGAGCTGGAAAGAGCTTTTAGGCCAATGCAGATTATGTGACCCTTCACTAATTCACATTCATGTTCGACGTAGACTTGTGCATGTAAGCTCAAGACGATGAAGCGTATTGGTACGAGTGAGTGTTTACGCGGGATAATCAGCTGTACCCGAGTCTCAGGCTATCCTGGTTATCAAAAAGCGTCACATCTACGGAGTACCAACGAAACACTGAATATCAACATGTTAATCGTGGATCTCAAACCAAATAAGCAAGGCTAGACGTTATCATGTAACGATGTAGATGCCTGGAAAATCAGGCCCAAGGCGGAGATAGTGACGGGTATCCCAATCAGTACTAGTGGCTTAGGGTTTGACCTAGCCCAGTCGCTTAGACGAGCCCTCCAGCCCACCTCGCAACCCGAAGTGTAGGCACAAGACTAGCCCCGACGAAGGTCCTTCAGCGACAAGACACGACACGACAATCATATTCCCCTTCGCTTTTCGAGTAACGTTCGGAAAGCGACCCTGAGAGGAACATTCGCAAAAATGGCTGACACCGAATACGTGAGTGATATTCCAGGATATAAATGGTCATTGATACTTGGTTCGAGGGGAGCTAATGTGAAATCTTTGCTTGCAGAACGCCGAGGAGGCTGCCGGTACGTTGTCGCAGGACACCCTTTCTTCCAATCCCTATCCTCCTACAGAAGAGCGCGATGTGTTGTGAGCTGTTTTCGTGATGGAATACTGGAAAGAATCGATGGATCGAGATGGACTTGGTGCATCAGAGCGACCGGAGGGATACGATTATGGAGAATACGGATAGCCACACATCAGGGATAGGATAGACGCGCTGACAGACACTTTCGCCAAACAGAGATCAAGAAGAGAAGACAGTTCCGCAAGTTCACCTACCGCGGAATTGACCTCGACCAGTACGTTCAGCAATCTTCCAAGGACCCTGTCACCAGCCAACCACCCGACTCCGAACGAGCGAGGCCATCAATTTTACCATCTTTGCATGGGTCATCCTTGTCGGAGTCCGAGGTTGGGCTGCAGGGACAGATTGGAAAACATATGAAGGAACCGTTGTCTGACATGGAATGTGCTACAGGCTCCTCGACCTCTCCTCCGAACAGCTCCGCGATGTCGTGCACGCCCGCGCCCGCCGCAGGTTCAACCGTGGTCTGAAGCGCAAGCCCATGGGCCTGATCAAGAAGCTCCGCAAGGCCAAGCAGGAGGCCAAGCCCAACGAGAAGCCCGATCTCGTCAAGACCCACCTGCGTGACATGATCATTGTCCCCGAGATGATCGGCAGCGTCATCGGTATCTACTCCGGAAAGGAGTTCAACCAGATTGAGGTCAAGCCCGAGATGGTTGGCCACTACCTCGGTGAATTCTCCATCACATAGTACGTTCTCCTTCCGTCCTTCTCTGAATCAGAGCTCTAACAACCATACAGCAAGCCCGTCAAGCACGGTCGTCCCGGTATCGGTGCCACCCACTCTTCTCGTTTCATTCCCCTCAAGTAAAGAAGAAAAGCTTTCTGGAGTGTTGCGTGGAGGATCGGGCGTACGGATGTGCTGGGAGAACAAAAAAGGGATGGATACCATTTGCGTCCATTTGGATTCATCAAACTTGTATGTCAAGTGCGGGTCAGCTGTTTGCATCTCAATATAAAGATCTTGTCGCCATGAAACACGAACGAACCAAAGACCAAGCGGGATCGTCAACCTTATGATGATGAAGTTTCACCCCTCCGTTCTGCTTCGGCGGAGGCGGAAGACTTTCGCCTGTTCCTTTCACTGAGTATTAGTTAGGAATGGAAGTCTAATCTACGAAGTCGAATTTCATATATATGTCTCTGTAGACCTGAGACCGTTACCAGTTCTGTAAACATTCGCATAACCGCTCTTGTAGCTAACAAGGTGCCCGGCAATTGTTATTTCCCATCTTTTCTGTCTTTTCCCTATTATCTTGAAAAAGTCTTTTGATAGACATATCAGTGATCCTCAACCTTCTATGCATATGAGCTTTGACAGAAATGTAAACACTGGGACGAGTTCTGACCAAGACGGACAGTCACTATGTTGAAGTCTCCATTCTACAACACACCAACAATACTAGATTCGTCACTCACAAGTCCCTCAGTCCGCATGAATTAAGCCTTTTCCTTCTCCAATGTCTCATCAATGATTCCATCAAGCTCGCTCCATGCTCTCCGCATGGAATGGAGCAATTGACCAGGACTCCGTCTCAAGCCGTGGTGGTACATCTGCACCGGCCCCTCCGCAAAAGCCCTCCTGATGATTTTCTTGAGCGTCGGCACGGCAGAACTCACCTCGATTTCATTCATGAGATAAAAGAGAGCGGATTGCCAGATCGCGGCGTACGCGCCAGATGAATCGTTCTTGCCGCCGAACGCTGGCAGCCCCTGCAGCATCAGCTCATTGGCGAGCATCGCAAACACCCACGCGTGCATCTGTCGCGTCGGGTGCCCTGGTTCAGGATACACGATGGGGTCAATAAGACGGAAGCGGATCGCGGCGTGCACGAATGCCTCATAGAGTTCGTCCTGTGAAAGAAGACAGGTGATCAGCTCGTCTCGCAGGGTGACCATCGGCTGTCGGGTGATCGGCCACGCAGAGGTTTTGTGTAGGTCCTTCATGACTCCTTTGATCTCATCGGCGGCCTCTGACTGGCTGAGGCGCGCATTACCGATCCTGTTCAAAACATTCATTGCCACGGTCTCGGCGTCTTCCATGACAGAGAGGTCGTGCGCTTCGTCGAGGAAGCAGTCTTCCAGTGTGCTTGTGCCTTTTTTGCACCTGGGACATCGGCATTTGAAGTAGTATCGCTCCGACAGCCCTTTCTGGCGGATGTTGTACGAGTTCGTGGCGTCGATGTACGACACCAGTATCTCTTCGCCTTTTTGGATAGGGCGAAGAGCTTTCACGTAGAGGGCGTCACCATCCGAGCCGACGACGGAATTGTAGTCGCAGCTGTGATTGATCAGAGCCGCATATGGGTGCAGGTAGAATCCCAGACGATCAGACAGGGGACTGTGAAAGTTGTACGAGTTTAATTCCAGCTTTGAACGTTACCGAGTCAGGTCTTGTCAAGGAGATGATATGAATAATAGAGAAAGGTGCAGCCAAAACTCACCTTGGCACCATAGTCACATATCATTTCTTCATCCATAGCACATCCAGAGTACTTCTTCACGGCCTTCGCCGTCAGGGATATCCGCTGCCACTGTTCCCAGTTCTGCGCTTGAATCTCTCCCATATGACTCTGCAGTTTGCGGAAGAGCCCCAGCTCCTCCTTTGAATATTTGCCGCGCTCACTGCGCATGACCATCCGAAGAATAGCTCTGGCATTGCTCGGAAGGACTCGGGGCATCAACTCCTTGAAAATCCGACATTCAAACGAGTGAGCGAACTTCCAGTCTTTCGCTTGGCAGGTCTATTCCCAGTTAGTGGTGACACGAGCTCGGGAAGGATAGAGAGATGAGTGGTAGGCTTCAACCAACCTTATTACAATACTTCACAACCCGACACCCCGTACAAGCTTTCAACTCGACTTTTGCATCTCTGTTGCAATGATGCTGCCCAAGGCATCCGGAGCAGGTATCCTGCAACCGCTCAGTGTCCAGGACTGCCACGAACGGCCTCTGGATAAGCACGACTGTCCTTCCGGCCGGGATATCCATTGCAGCAAAAATCCCTGTCCCGGCGCCCGGCGACGGAGCAGGATAGGCTCTGGTGTAGACTGAAGGAATAGGGTTCTCGAACCCCCCTTTCGTGATGTCCTCATTGTCCTGGTCGGGATCCGTGCTGGTGATGGATGGGTCGAGTAGACGCGCGAGAATATCCTCGTTTAGGATGTCTTCGGGGACTTTGCGTCTGCCCCGCTGTAAATCTGTAATAGAGGCCATTTCTAGGTGGTCTGATATTCATGACAAGTTGTGGATAGTTCCAGTTACTCAGACTTTACTCCGTAGCTTTGAGATTGAAAGGCCATTATGATGATAGGTCATATGATAGGGCGAAAATTCTAGTTTCGGTAGCCTAGAGCGTTTCCATCGAGCGTCCTTTCTCAGCATCAAATCTCGAGATTCCTATTCCGTGACGCTCTGATGATATGTGCCGACCTTGTAGTTTGTGAGAAATACGGCAAATATCAGCAAAACTGAATCAGCCGTAGCCGATATCACGTGTTCTCCTTTGCCGTAAGCCTGGCGATGGAGAAAGACATTGAAGAGTTGAGATTTGAGTATAGTCAAAATACTTAAGAATACATACATCTTGAATCATCACATACAGGCCGATCAAGCTAACGAATGAAAATAAAATACAATTCAGAATTCTTTTCTCGCTCAAGCACATAGCCTGCATACTCAAAAACCATGATAAATATAACAAAGCCACAAGAAAAGAGAATATGGAACACCGCAGCACGACCATGATCCTCATGCCAGGTCAAACCAAGAGCATAAATTCTATCCACACGAAGCCGGATCCTCTACGCCAAACAGGACGGGCTTTTTGTTTGCCTGAAAAGAGAACATAAGTAGAACCAAATGATTAAATCTATAAATAGAACAGGACTTTTCCCTTTTTTTCATCGGTTTGATGAGACCGTCAAGATTCGGATTTACATCAGCTTGCCGCCAGTGAACTCGGACCAGCTGCGGACCTCAGGGGGAATGCCGTCGGGGCGGGGCAGCTTAGCGTTCATGGCCTGAGCGAAGAGAAGAGCGGTCTGGTATAGAGGATTAGTAAACGTGACACAGTCGTACATGGTTCAAGGGGAGGAACTGCTACGTACCTTGGTCTCCATGAAGAGAGGAACACCGAAGTCGACCGCGTTACGTCTCATAACATAGTCCTCATCCAGGAGGGTCTTGCCACGGGTCTTGGCAAGGTTGAAGCAACCGCGGATGTCGTACTTCTGGAATACCTCACGAAGGGCTCTCTTGTCTTCCTTAGGGAACTCAATCACCTGCACGGAGACCTTGTCCTTGGTAGCGGACTTGAGGTGAGCCTGGACCTCAGGGCTGGCAGCGAAGAACTTGTAGCCGAGAGGGTGGAGGTAGTCAACAATCTGGGCCAAAGCAGGGTTGTTGATGTCACCGCCGAGCAGGATACCCTCGCCGGGCTCGGGCATGCGGAAGTTCATGGTGGACTGGAGAGAAGCCCAGTAGGCCTCAACAAGATCCTTGCCGAAGCAAGCAATCTCACCGGTACTGGCCATCTCAACACCGAGGAACGGATCGGCACCGGCAAGACGAGTCCAGCTGAACTGGGGCACCTTGGTAGCGAGGTAGTCACGCTTCTGAGTCATGAGATCGACGGGCTCGGGGACATCGCGGCCAACAAGCGCCTTGGTAGCAACGTCAATGAAGTTGGTTCCCAGGACCTTGCTGACGAAGGGGAAGGAACGAGAGGCACGAAGGTTGCACTCGATGACCTTCAGCTGGGGCTCAGCACCTTCCTGATCGGCCTTGATGATCTGCATGTTGAAGGGACCGGTGATGTTCCAGGCCTTAGCAACCTTCTCAGCAATCTCCTTGACACGGCCCATGATCTTCTCGTCCAGAGAAGCAGGAGGCAGGACCAGAGTGGCATCACCAGAGTGCACACCAGCCGGCTCAACGTGCTCACTGACGGCGTGCAGGAGGAGCTTGCCGTTGGAGGCAACAGCATCGATATCGATCTCCTGAGCACCCTCAATGAACTTGGTGATGACAACTGGGTGGTCGGGAGAGACAGCACTGGCGTTGAGGAGCTTCTCCTTGAGTTCATCACCACTGTAGATGACGCTCATGGCAGCGCCAGACAAGACGTAACTGGGGCGAACCAGGACGGGGTATCCGACAGACTCGGCGAAGCGCTCAGCCTCGGAAACCGAGGTGAGCTCCTTCCACGCAGGCTGATCAACACCGATGCTGTCCAGGATCTGAGAGAACTTGTGTCTGTCCTCAGCCTTGTCAATGTCCTGAGGATCGGTACCAAGAACGTGGGCACCGCCAGTCTCCTGCAAGCGGAGGGCGATGTTCTGGGGCAGCTGACCACCGACGGACACGACAACACCGCTGGCACTCTCGAGCTCGTAGATATCCATGACACGCTCGTAGCTGAGTTCCTCAAAGTAGAGCTTGTCAGCAGTGTCGAAGTCAGTGGAGTAGGTCTCGGGGTTGTAGTTGATCATAACAGTCTTCTTGCCCATGTTCCTCAGAGAGAGGGTAGCGTTGACCGCACACCAATCGAACTCGACAGAGCTTCCAATACGGTAGACACCGCTTCCGAGAATGATGATACCGTGGTCATCGAAGGTGACATCGTGGGAGGTAGCGTTGTAGGTGGTGTAGAGGTAGTTGGTGTCAGCAGGGAACTCAGCGGCCAGGGTATCGATCTTCTTGACCCAGGGTCTGATGCCGAAGCTCTTTCGGCGAGCGCGGACATCGTCCTCGGTGGAACCGACGAGGAGAGCAATCTGCTTGTCAGAGAAGCCAAGCTTCTTGGCTTTCAGCATCATCTCCTTCTGGATGCCAAAGAGGCTGCCAATCGCCTTGAGCTCATTGTTGCAATCAACGATGTTCTGGAGCTTGTAGAGGAACCACTTGTCGATCTTGGTCAGCTCGTGAACCTTGTCAACCGAATAGTTCTCGTGAAGCATGGCCTGGCCAACAGCCAACCAGCGGCGGTCAGTGGGGTTCTTCAGAACCTCATCCAGGTTCTCAAACTTGTCACCCTGGAAACCGATGAAGCGAGGATCGACCTGGCGGATAGCCTTCTGGAACGACTCCTCAAAGGTACGACCGATGGCCATGACCTCACCGACAGACTTCATGGCACTGCCGATGTCGCGCTTGACGTGCTGGAACTTGCTCAGATCCCACCGGGGAATCTTGGTGACAATGTAGTCCAGACTAGGCTCGAAGTTGGCGGTAGTGGTCTTGGTGACCGCGTTGGGAAGCTCGGGAAGAGTGTGGCCCAGACCGATCTTCGCAGCAGTGTAGGCGAGAGGGTAGCCAGTAGCCTTGGAGGCCAGAGCAGACGAACGGGAAAGACGGGCATTGACCTCAATGACACGGTAGTCAAGACCATCAGGCTGCAGAGCGTACTGCACGTTACATTCACCGACGACACCCAGGTGGCGGACGATCTTGATGGCGGCCGTACGGAGCATGTGGTACTCTTCATCAGAAAGTGTCTGACTGGGAGCAACGACGATACTGTCACCGGTGTGGATACCCAGAGGGTCAAAGTTCTCCATGTTGCAGACGGTGATACAGTTGTTGGCGGCGTCACGGACGACTTCATACTCGACCTCCTTCCAGCCCTTGAGGGACTTCTCGACCAGGATCTGGGGAGCAAGAGTCAGAGAACGAGAAGCCAAGTTCTTCAGCTCCTCAGGGTTCTCAGCGAAACCGGAACCCAGACCTCCGAGAGCGTAAGCCGAACGGACGATGATAGGGTAGCCAACTTCTTCAGCAGCCTTCAAAGCCTCGTCAACAGTGTTGACGGCGATGGACTCGGCAATGGGAATGTTGATCTCCTTCAGGGCCTGGGCGAACAGGTCACGGTCCTCACTAGTCTCGAGGGTCCTGATGCTTGTTCCCAGAACTCTGACACCGTAGCGCTCAAAGATGCCCATGCGGTTCATCTGCACACCAAGGTTCAGGGCGGTCTGGCCACCGAACGACAGGAAGATGCCATCGGGGCGTTCTCTCTCAATGACGTGAGTCACATATTCGGGGGTAACGGGGAGATAGTACACTTCATCGGCGAGTTTGTGATCGGTTTGGATCGTCGCGATATTGGGGTTGATCAAGACCGACGTGACACCGGCCTCCTTGAGAGCCTTGAGGGCCTGAGAGCCTGTAATTATTGAAAAATGCAATGTTAGTCACTTGAATCCTAATTGCTATACAGCTTTGCTCGCCCTTTTGTCTTTTCTCTTTCGTTCCCGCCCAAGATGGCGTCTCCCTTGCAGCCGAATGCATATCGACGCCGCTTGAAATGCCACGCGCGCAGATACGAGCCAAATTGCAATGCGTGCTAAGGAAATTGCGAGTCGCGTGACCTACCGGAATAGTCGAACTCTCCAGCCTGTCCAATACTCAAACCACCGCTACCGATGACAAGGACCTTCTTGACATCAACCAGATTGCTACCGGGCTTGACAACTCCGCTGGCGATGTAGCTGTCGGCAGAGGGGGGGTTGTTTGACTCCGAGGCCAAGCGGCGAAGGGCACTGGAGAAGGAACGGAGCTGCTGGGATCGCAATGGCGAGGCAACCTTCTGCTGCAATCGCAGACTCGAAGCCGTCGACCGGGCCGTAGTCTGAGCGGAGAAGGGGCGCAAAGCGAAAGCGGAACGACGGGTTTCAGTCAGACATCGCTGACGCAGAAGGGAGGACGTAGCCTGCCCGCAACGAGCGGCGAGAACCATTGCGCACTGCGCCAAGGAAAAATAATAGGTAGATATAGAAGACTACCTAGTGCAACAAGCGAGTCAATTGACCAAGCCAATGACTCTTATTCTCCTTCTTTCCTTTGTCCGGAGAAGATCCAGGAGAGGAAGAATTCACTCTTCGAATAAATTCGATTCGTTTTGTTCTTCTTGTTCTGCCGGCCTTGATTAATCCCTACCTTACTGTCCCGCTTTGTGTCACACGCCCAATACACAGGGGAGGACTAAAGAGGAATAGGAAGAACTGTTGGCCTTGGGCCTGGTATACAGGAAGCAGTCAAGGTGGAATTGGAGAGACGAAGAAGGAGAGGAGAGGAGAGTAAGAGGATATGGAGGAGATAAATGGATGACTCTTAGAGGAGCAAGCTATGAGTCAATGCGTTTTTCTGGAGACAGACAGAATCGGATTGACCAGAACCTCAGTCCCCCCAAAAAAGGCACAAACAATTCTTTGGGACTAATGATAAGAGCTCCGGTGTGCGGAGGCTTTTTTTTCTTTTTACTTTTTTCTTTTTTCTTTCCTCTGCGCTTTTCCTCCTGTTGGCTGTTGCCGTGCCAATTTTGCCGGTTTGGTGGTCACCGCTTGCTGTAATCACCAATCAGAGGAACGCTCAGTGGATGCGGTGGGACTGGTTGCGCATAGAGACCATCATGGCAGTTCCCTCACTTTCGAGCCTTCAATGATTCAACCAGACTTGGGGAATCGCTTCAAGTCAATCACTACTAAAATCGCTATGGGTTTAGCGAAAACGCCACTAACGACACAGTGTGTTGTTTCTGACCATTCAGTAATCCCTTTGGGGAATAGAACCATTTCCCACCAGAGTCTTAGTGTTGAAGAGTACCCAGAGACGATCCCAATTGGTATTCTCCTACTGGTGGCTGGCTCGAATAGGGAGTTCTGGATAGTCTTGCCGTGCGCACTATCAAGTCCATCACTCTAAGTGCGAATTGTCTCCACAGGTCTTGGTAGATGCTCGATTCTCTCATAGTCATAGTCCTGCATACGGACTACGGAGTATCCTCTCCTTGACGCATTGTCAAAGCTACCTAATGACAGGGTACTTCTCTGCAAATACGGAGTACATGCTGATCATATCTCCCTCAATTGATGTACTCCGAACTTAGGCTATTATTGCATTTGGTTGTTGTTACCCTTCGCAAACCACTTCCTTGAAAATTTTCATCGATGGCCGATCAATACTGTTCCAGGAGTTGAGTTCGCTTCCGCTTCCTCGCTACTGGCAGCTTGGCGTGAAAAATTGCGGATATCGGAGGGTCTTCACGTTCCAATCCTGGATAGAGGTGCTGGCTGACCAACTTGACTGGCTCTTCTTTCCTACTCTTCCGTGCCGATATCATAACTTTATTTGCAAATCATATTTCAAAAGCAAATGCACCGCCAAGAAACCACTGAAGTTAAGAACGTGATATCATAACATTTCAGATGTATACATCAGATGGAATCATAATTCAGTGTATGCAGCGCTCCCTCCATGCAATCACTCAGCGATACCCAATTGTCCATTGAGCTTGGCCCATGGACCTCGGAGTTGCTTTTGTGATCGGGTTGCCCTTGTGCGAGACCGAGTCGAACGAGCCTCAAAGGCCCAGATGTCATTCGAGTCCTCTTCTGATGACTGCGTATCTCGCAAGGTCTCCTCGAGATCCTGGTTCAACATGCTGTATACCTCCTGCAGTACATGCTCTGCGTCTGTAGCCGTCTCTTGGCCCTCTGCCAGCTTCTCTTCGACGTACTGGTGTTCGCTCGTCGCTGCCGCTTCGGACGCGAAGGCCCATGATTCAGCTAAAGTAACAACTTCGTCAGTCGCGCTCGTCGCATGTCTCAAATTGATGTGCTTGAAACGTGGTTGATGAGTCAAGAGGGGGTACTCCGGAAGGAGGTGACTCTCATCGCTCAAGCGATTTAGAATACGGAGAGTCGTAGACTTTTCCTTCGTCAGCATCCCCGATACGTAGTTCTTCTGCAGAGCCAATGCTCGCTGCGTCTTAGATAGTGGAAGGAGAATCTCGCTTGCGAAAGACAGAACCTCCAACGGTTCCACTGATGATCGATCCCCAGTTGCGAGCTTCCCCAGGTCGACCGATTGGCGTGATGGCTTCATAGATGCCATCGTGACAGGCTGACAGGCCCGGGAAGCAGCATCCAACAAAAGCTTGCGTGCTTCGACGTAGGCAACATACTGCACCGCAATCTCTGCCTTTTGGTCTTCGACCAACCGTGTGGACTCCTCGATCTCCTCGGGGGAAAGATCCTGCACTGGAGCATCGTCGGCGTTACCCACGCTCACTAATTTCTCCTCAACCCATTGTACCAGCTCATCCCGCGTGCGCTGCAGTGCCGCGACTTTGACTGCCGGTGGTACATCTTCACTGTCTGACGCGTGCTGCGACTTCAAATCCTCCAACAGCTCTCTCTCTCGATCCAGTTGAGCCTTGACACGGATCACGGCCCTTTCCAGTTTATGTACCAAGCCTTCAATGCCATCGTCTGCGCCACGTTCCGTCGATTTGCATTCCTCCTCGGACTTCTCCAAAGACACGATTTGCTGGTCTCGGCTCGCTCGGTCACCGATGCGCTCGGAGATATTCAAGTCTCGTTCTTTGAGCTCTTGTAGGTAATGCTGAAAGACCTGCAATTTCGCATGTCGACGGCGATCGCGAAGCAGTCGGAGGTATGTCTGTAGTTCTGAACTGTGGTCGATAGATCGAGACTCGGTCTTTGAACCTTTTCTTCTCTCTTTTGCCGACGCGACTTTCTCAGACAATGATTCATACTCCTTCCGCGCGGCTAGATTCGCCTGAAGTGCTTGCAAGTATTCCTTCCTCAGCCCGGTCAACTCTGCTGGAATTCGCTTGACATTGACCACAGCATCCTGCGGTACGCAGAGGGTAAGATGAGATTGGGAATGACAATTGGGATTTTCGGAGTCATGATCCGCGAAATCTATTTGCGAACGAAGGTATGAGGTCAAAGCCTGTCGGATGTGGAGAGCTTCCTGGCGAGTTCGGATGTAAGGAGCCAACGGCCTGGCAAAAGGAGGAACATCAGTCGGGATAGCAGCTTCAGGTCGATGAGCCATAACGAGTGATTCGCTCAGGAGCTACAGACGAACTCTGACGTCAAACTAGAATTTCCACGGACGATGTAGCTGATTAGTTGTTGGATATCGATCTCAATCCTCCTTGTAACCCTCTGACTTACCTGTTTCCTGCCCAATCACTGGCATTTTCATTTGTTGTTTTGTTGTTGCTGAAGCTTGTAGATCCTGTTACGTAAGCAGATACATATTGATTTCCTTAATCCCCTGCGAGCATCTATGAGACATGGGGACTTGGGAAGGGACCTTAATTGATCTATCAGATTGTACACTCTTTTTGATAGTTATATACTGATTTTCCTTGATTTGAGCACAATCATCTGTGGCTCATTGTGATGTACAGAGCACTCATCTGTAACTGTCCCAGGAATATACTCCGTAGACCCCAGAAGTAAGGGATATACTCAATTATCTGCCTGCCACAACCCACCAAGACAACCAAGTACGTTCAGAGATTCAAAATGCGATCTTCCCTAAGTGTGGGGAGCTTGAGAAGGGTTCAGACTGTCGGTTGTCACTCAAATGTCCCAATCATCCCTGATGCATTGGATACTTTTTCGGAGGCGGATAATATATTGTGTCAACAAATGTGTCAAAATGCTTCAACATCAATCGCTGAAGCAGTTACTAACGATAGAGTGCGAGGCGCGATCAGCAGGAAGCTTTCGACTACTTCATGTCTGGCAAATGAGATGTCATTATGCAGAAGGACGGTTCTCTGCGATACCTTGTTCGCCCAAGGCCCACACTCCGGAATGTACAACGATCTGACAAGGATACAACGGGAGATGACACCTCATCTATGTCCTCTCGCTTCGACTGGGCTAGGCACAGCATTTGAGACTTTCTGGGAAAGTTGGCATACTCTTCTCTTTGCGATGTTCTCACCGTCTCTTTCTCGACGATCACACATCCTATCATTGTCCGAGACTTAGCCGTCTATTTGTAGTCGCTTCAGGCATCAAGTACAGGTACTACCGTGAAGCTGACCGCATTTGACCTACAGAATGCAGTCTATGAGTGCTGATTAACCTCGAATGGGAGCGGACACCCTTTATCATCAATAAACTATGAAGCTCCCCAGACTCGCGAGCAGAATTGGCGACTCCCACCATATCTGGTATGTTTTGAGCTCATTCTTCTGGAATTTCAATCAAGGGGTTACCTTGCTTCCCGGCTTCCAGCTTCCTCGCTTCGGATCCCCCTCTTTGACCCTCCATCGCTTCGTTCTTCCAGTTTGCCGTTGCTAGAACAACTCCTTTCCGCAGAGGTCTTGGACATCACTGCGACTTTTTGCCTCTATATAGTTCCCAAAGTTCTCCGCTTCAACTGACAGCCCTTCATTAGAGATATATTGTGTCCAGGAAACAAGGATGCCTGCGGATCCGAGTCCTGTTCCTACCTCTTCTCCAACTTCACGCCGCCGTGCCGCAACTGCAATGCAGCCGTCCACGACCCCAGCCGTCATCTTTCGACGACCATCGCAGGGAATGGGCAACCCCGCCATCTCTCTCCCTCAGACAATATATGCAGATAGTTCAATGTCGGGGATGGGAGAAAACGGTGGTGCAGGAGTAGTGTCACGTAAGAAACTGGCTGGACCTGTTTCAAGAGAAGCATCAGACTGAGAATTGGCAAGCTCCACTGCGACATCCAAAGCCCCTTACGCCATCCGATCTCCACTCCTTGGTTGAGCGGGAGCAAGAAGCGATGGTAAAGTATCGACGTTCTCAAAGCAAAGCTGCACCGTTCTGACGCCATGGGCTTGTTGGCAGGTGAACCGGCTTTCCAGAGAGCTGTCTTTGCTACGCCAGCAAACAGCCTCTGTTGCATCGACCACCTCGTCCACTTCAACCACGCTCAATGACTCCTTGGATGCATATCACAGTTCACCGTACTTAATTAGCTCCGCACATCCGACGGCCTCGCGGCGACATCGCTCCTCATCGAGTCTAAGCTCGTCTTATGTCCCAGTAGTTCAAGGATCGAGAACAGGAAATGGAAGCGCAATTGCACGATCTCGAGAGACCAGCTTGTCACTTCCATCGTCACGTCCAAACGACCTTTCCAGGTCCGCTCGTGCCCCATCCATCACATCGCGGCCGTCGGATCAAGTCCTGCCATCCTTGGCTGCATTGATACGGCCGCAGCCACAACAAGGCGAAAATGTGCCAAACAACGCCCCCGGACCCCGTCCGAACGCCCGTCAAAGGTCTTTCTCCCCGCAACAAGTACCAGCTGTTGGCAATCCGCCTCGCCAGGAAGTACCGGCCCAGCGAGGAGAGTTGGAAGCTATCAAGCGAGAAAACGAAGCTCTGCGTCGTCGCATACGGGACCTCGAGCTTGTTGTTAAGAGATATCGAGAACGCGAAGTGACCTCTCCAGAACAGGCAACAAATGACCATGAGCCCACATTGAAATTGGGGAAAGTGTCCATTTCCTCGAGGGACGACGCGAAGGATGGTCTTGATTAGCCTTAGAACTAGCTAGGACGCATCTTGGATAGGCAATGGATCAACGAATGTTGAATTCACAACCATCTGACTCTCCATTCATTCCTTCTATTGGATTCTGTCGACTTTATTGAACACTAATTGGATCTAAGCCCTCGCCTAATAAATGAGCCATCTATTATTATCGATTCTTAAACTCGACTATCACATGCGCGACCAAAGCTACTCCACCGTGGCGGTGCAGTCGACCCCTCGCAACGTCATATGTGGCGCAATCATGGACTAGGCTGCACGCCAGAATAAATACACCTGTTGTTGTCCTGTATCTGTTCACACTCGATCATCCTCCAGGTTTTTCAAAAATATTGCGAATTTATTCATCTAGGCAAGCACATACTTTCAAATCCATCTCGAACCACCACTCAATCATAATGTCGGAACGCAGCACTGTCCATGTCTCGGGAATCTCATCCGCAACCACTGATAAGGAGGTCAATGACTTCTTCAGCTTCTGGTATGACAGTCGTTCACCATTACCTCTTGAATAGGGATTGCTAATATTCCCCATCTACTAATAGTGGAAAGATCACTTCGATCTCTGTGACTCCAGTTTCTGGTGAGAAGGATGCGACCAAGTCCGCAACGGTGACGTTCGAGAAAGAAGCGTAAGCCTACCCCGCACTGCCCACGCCATCGAAACTTGGTCACGCCATACACCTTTTTCTATTCTTCGAAAATGGAACTGGAAATTGAACTAACGATCTTATAGAGCAGCAAAGACTGCCTTGCTCCTGGACCAAACCCAATTGGGTCCCTCCACAGTGCATGTCACCGCCGCTCACACCATTGACGAGATCGCCGGAGACCATGCTGCCAGCGCCGGGGAGGCCAAGGACGAGAACAGCCAGGACCTCGAGCAAGAGGACAAGCCCAAGTCCCGAATTGTCGCAGAGTACCTTGCGCACGGCTACGTGATCAGCGACAACGCCATCCAGAAGGCCATTGCCCTGGACAAGAAGCACGGCTTCTCCTCCCGCTTCACATCGGCCCTGACCAACTTCGACCAGAAGTACCATGCCACCAATCGTGCCAAGGGGCTCGACGAAAACTACAAGATCACCGACAAGGCGGCCAGTGGCTGGCGCGGTCTCCACTCGTACTTCGAGAAGGCTTTGGATACCCCATCTGGCAGGAAGCTCCGCGAATTCTACGTGCAGACCGACAAGCAGGTGCGCGACATCCACAACGAGGCCCGCAGACTCGCAGACTTGCAGGGCGGAAAGCAGACACACGAGGATGCTCCGGCTGCGGCTGGTGCGGAGGCAGCCGACGTTGCTCCTAGCACTGCGCCGACGTCGCAACCGGCGGGTGCTGCACCCCCCGCTGAGCCCAAGGCGTGATTGGGGACTTGGCGATTAAGCAATATCTGATTATTTCTGTATTGTTCGCAGGCTGATTGTTTGTTCTTATTGAATTCCCCAACATCTGGTTCTTTCAAGGCAATTCATGACAAGTAATTCATCAGAAGAGCTTTTAATTGCGCTCACTACCACCTCCTTTTTGTACTTATCATATCCTGAAAAAAAACTCTTTTATCATCCACACAATCAAACAACTCCTCTCTCAAGAGGGAAATAGTCATTCAGTGAACTGTAAAAAAAAATCATTCACACATCAAATAGAGTCTAAAAATACATCATGCAAATCCCTTTCCGCGCCATCAATGTACCTTCGAGTACTTGGCCGACTCAATATCCTCAAGCGGATGCTTGGGGTTACTCTCCAGCTTCGACTCCTTCGTCTCATCCGACTCGCGCTGCGAATGCTGCGGGTCCCCGCGAAGCTCGGGCTGAGTCTTTCCCGCGGAGGGGGGTTCTTGCTGCTGGGCGCCGGTCTGGGTTTCAGGGGGAGGGGACTGACGGCCGGAGTTTTGTGCGGACATTTTGCTCTGGGGGTTTATCAGTCAAATTCTATGCTTCACGGGCGGTGCAGAGGGCTTACTTACCAGGTTGTGTGGAGGTATTGGATGGAGTATTTGTGTCAATGGTATCAGATGGCAATGGAGTGGATGGTTTGATAATGATGTGAGGGATGTCTTTCGAGATACCTACTTAGGTTTTTAAGTGTAGACGACTTGCGCTAAGGCGCTATGAAGAGCTGTAGACTGTGTCATTGCAAACAGGGTCGCCTTGTTGGAATTCATCATCATGACGTCTTGGGATGGGGTCCACTGTTATCATAGGTAGTCGGTCCTTCTGCTAGTACTTCGTACATAAAACACATAGAAACAGCAATGCAATGATATGCAGCCTTTGATCCGTGTCTGAAATTTGAAACAATTTGACGAGGCAACTACGGCCCTATCAATCCTGGATGCATTGTTGACTACTTGACTCTGTATATCTCTCTATTGTAGCAGGCATGATTCAGATATGGCGTCATAGGCCCCATTCGTTTGTGCTGTTTGCACCTACCTAAGTCACGTGACTCATACGATTGTTTGTGTCCGTGGAGTCAGTGCATCAGCCAATAAAGAGTGGAAAATATTTGGAGCTTCTTTCTTCTCTCATCGTAGAATGCATCTCATTTTGCTCATGTCAAAGTATAACATGAACCTAAGCCAAGTGCCAGGATTAACGGGGGGAATCTGATTCTGTGCAGTACATGTATGCAGGGAAAAATCGAGTCAAATCACAATGGTGGGACTTTTGTGTAGAGAGATCATGGTGACAATTATAGACGAACCAAGACGGCCATGACAGCATTCAGACAAAGAAAAGGAAAACGGTCTAAATGACAAAAAAATGGGGCGAGGAATAACGAGCATATGCGGCGTGAGAGCCGTATTCAATCCAGGCGCCTGCTTGAAAACAGCCAAAGCCCAAGAGCTGTAGACAAAACAGTCATCCAGACTGCCATAGCATGTTCTTATATCATCAATGTGGAAGATTCAGCGAATGTCGACTGGTTCATTTCGTCGACGGGCCGAACATCTCTTCTTCTCTATTTTTTGCTTTTGATTCTGCTGCAAATCATGTCTCATTGGGTGCCGTTAGCCTGAACTCCAGCAGCAGCAGCTTCCGCGTTAGCTGCTGCCATGGCCTTGGCATCAGCCTCATGGAAGACAGCCTGAATGATCTGCTGTTCCTCCGGGCTCAAAACCTTCGTGAGATTCTCATAAAGTTGCGGTTGTTCCTGTTGAAGGCCTAGTAGGGGGGTCCGAATTTAGCCAAAGCGCACCGAACTACATCCGGGGAAGACAACTTACTCATGAACACATGCTTGAACATGCCGTACGGCTCAATCTTGTCCAGTGGTGTCTCAAGCAAACTCTCCTCATCCAGCTCGTCATCGTCGTCGTCAGCAAAGGAGCCGAACTTTTGCGCCTGGGAAATACGGTTAGTGTGATGTTCTCCAGACTAAAATGATGATGTGACTCACCTCCTGGTTCAGGAAATCGAGGTAGGCGGCACTCTCGTCAGGAACGTCACCCTCGACTGCCCCCTCAAGCTCATCCCCTTCGGTCCATTCGACCTCGCCATCCCAGTCATTCTCCTCGTCATCCTCTTCACCTTCGTCGTCGTATGTGAAGTCGGACTCTTTCGTGGCGTCCTCGCGATCTTTTAAAAGCTTAGTAAGATTCGGCGGTAAAAGGAGTCGGGCACTTACTCTTGATTGCTGCAGGTAGGGTCTGGAAGAGTCTGGTGACTCCCTGAAGGAGTCTAGGCCAACCCTGCTGCACACTGGCAGGAACGTCTCCAGCCTTCAGAGTGAGCAGAGAGCTGATCGCTGCAATCGACAGCTTCTTGTCGTGAACACGTCTGAAGTTGTCAATGTGGGAGAACCACGTGCTGAAGAACTTGTTCGTCCAGCCCTTGGATTCCAGAACTTGCAGACTGAGGACAGGGTTGTAGTAGATGGCGTTGATGACCATCTCCATCAAGTGAAGACGGTAGGACTTCGTCCTAGCCTCCCCAGCATCGATGACGCGCATTGGGAGCTCAATGAAGAGGGGGATGTACTGGTCAATGTAGCCGCGCAGATTCAGCATCACGGTCTCCGCGAGTTTGCACCCGCATATCCGGTCGACACCGCCGACTTTCTCGTCCCTGAAGATATCCTCGACCATGCTAACGACGGCCGCAAGGTATGCAGGGTTCTGAACCAGCATTTCTGAGCCATAGGCGACGTAGTTGTCAAGGGCAGGCAGCATATCTTCCAGATACAACTCGGCACCTGCTTTGAAGGTCTTGTGAATAAGCTCAAAAGCCTGCCACATGGTAGGTGAGATGGATTTTGAGGCGAAGGTGCAGCTGTCGATGATCTCAAAGACCTCGTTGTAGAGGTCGTAAAGCTTGTTTTCAAGCGTGATGCTGATAACAGGCATGAGAATCGTCTCAAGATGCAGGAGCACATCAGGGGTGCTCTCGAGAGTCAATATGAGCGTTCCGATGGTCTGCAGAACACCCAAAGCAGTGATGCTCTTATCGTCCAAAAAGTCTCCATATGTGTCTTCTTCGCCCTTAGCAGCGTTTCGTTCCAGCAATTCGCCAACAATACGCATGTACGTATCACGGAGTTGTTCGCTGAGAGCCACAGCAAACGGCGTCAGTTCGGCCGAAAAGACCTCGACAAAGTCCTCCATGACATTGGCGAGAGCGTCCACGTCAACCTCGTTGGCGAGCTTGAGCAGCTGCTGCATAATCTGGGGAATGTTTTGCTGCATCGACGTTCTGATAATGTCATGACGAATGAGGGGCTGCAGAGCAAGAGCGGCCTCCACTCGGACAGGCAGTTCAGGATCGGTCATCGATTCCAAGATATTCCGGTAGATGACCATGAGGTTATTGGGGTCCTGGAAATCGAGCTGCTCGAATTTCTCCAGAGTGTCGCAGGCACGAGCTCTGAGGAAGCCATGAGGACTGCGGAATTCGGGGAAAACGTGACGAACGAAGAAGTATTCGACCTGGTTGGCGATGGGACTCTTCTTGCCCAAAATGACAGAGGCCAGTGAGCCGATC